TAATAACGCGCGACCACACCTCTTGCAGCTGTGTAACACGCTTCACGTGTGCAAAAATTCGTGACTCATTTCCGACGTCGCGACTCGTTGTAACGTCTCGAATGACATCTTCGCGAACATGAACGCGAACGCGCGACCTCGAAACCTAACGTCGATCGATAAGAGTCCCTCCCCCGTGTCCTCTCTTTCAAATCGGTTTTCTCCCTTTTTCGCATTATCAGAGAGTGGGCAAACCGGTTTCTTCCTTTTTTTCTCCTGCCCTCGTTACTCTATTTTACTCTTATTCATTAATGCGGAATCTAGCGGAATGGACGACATGCGCAAATTTCAAAAAATCGACAACGCTTTGATTTTTTTTGTGAGAAGCGCCCGGTCGAATGTTTTGTCACGTGACAAAATGTGCGCGGCCACGTACCGGCAATTGAAATATTTCGAGATCCAATAACACAGGATATAATTATATTTGGCTTTGATCTCTATCGCGATACTGACATCCACGTCGCTTGTTGATGTTTAAGGCAGGAATTGTTAAGATGGAACGGCTGGGGCTATAAAGATTCTGGATTTTGTGTCAATGACAAGAACGTGATAGAGTTTACCGGTGACAGGTGAGTTTTGTAAACTGTTCTTTACTGCTTTAAGAACCTCATTAAATAATTTAATATATCCCAGCTTAATCATTATTAAGTACGCGCGTGCAAAGCCGCAATATTAAGAAAAACGGAAAATTACATTTTTTTCCATTGACAAAATTGAATGGATTGGAAATATATAGTTTTAATCTTCTTTTTTTCTTTCTCTCTTTTTTTTAAATCATGTAAATTTTTTCTAGTTTATTTAAATAGGTTATTATATATTATATATTATAATTTGTTATAATTAAAGATTGTGCATTTTGATAATTGCTAAATTATTTAACAATATTCTTATTCTCTTTAATATTATTCTTTAAGTACATTAGAGTGCAAAATAAATGAAGCTGATTTTAATTTTTACGATAGTTATTATTAGATGCAAAATATATCGCGATTTACGATGACATATAGATAAGAACCGAAATGAAGAGGGAGTAATTGAAAATTGTGATAGAATAGATAAGGATAAATATTACAAAATTTAGTTATATTAATAAATATTAATAAATTAGAAATAAATTTAGTGGAAATATTTAAAAGCAAATCGTATTGTATTTGCTTATGAAAAGTATATGATAAAAATGTAAAAGATGTGTTTTATTTGACTCGTAATTTATATTTTTTACTCTGCATCTTTATACTTATTTTTCTCTTATCGGTTCTTATTGTTTACAAATAAATCTCGTTTCTTGTGATTTTTTTGATATAATTAATGTAACACGTGACTTTTTTGTTTTTTATTTATTAACTAGATTATCCATTTTATTTAATATTTTATCACTTTAATTATTCAGTGAAAGGATTAAGATGCAAATTTCAAAAAATATCAACAATCGAGACATTTTAGTTTACCAAGCATATATTGCTTGAATGTGGCAATCCTTGTATCTTCTTCAGTATCTTCGTTTTTTTTTTTTTTTTTTTTTACATCTATCTAGCTAATTATGTTTACCTAGTTACTGGCAAGCGAATACGCTAACAATAGTTAATGTATACTGCGATGTTTTAGTGTACATACTTTTTATTTGCACTTCATGTTAAGTGAGACTTCATATCGCTTGTTGCCAGCGAATCGACTCAATGAAAGCCTTGTGCATAATTTTATCAAATATCAGAAAAAAAACATACAGGAGAATGTAATGTTAATACTAATAGTAATAATTACTTAAAAAAATATGTAAATTGCAACATCTTTCATAATTTTGAGAATTAACGCTGTAGACGGTGTCCAATTATACACTTTTAATTTAAACTCAGTTTATTAATAAAAAGTTCCAAATAAGTTTCGACTCAAGTTTGAGTCATCTTTAGTGGTATAATACCATAAAAGTATATATCTGTATCGAGAGAGTCGATGATCAACCATAAAAATGCATGATGTTATATATATTTCAGACGCATATATTATCTCACATTTAAAGTTTATAATTCATTCAGTTGATGTAATATTATTAATTTTTATGATTGAATTTATTGACTGGATACAGAAATATACTTTTACGTTATTCTATCATTGAAGATGACTTAAATTTGAATCGAAACGTTTGGAACTTTTTATTAATAAACTAAGTTTTTAAATTAAAAGAGGAGAGAATGTAATTGCGCACCATTTATAGCGCTGATTCTTAATTATATATATTGTTTTCCATTAGTAATACCGAGAATTATTTTTGTTAATATTTCATAATTTCGGTAACATGTTACATTAATAGAATTATGTAATTATGTTTATAAATGTATTGCTATATAAATAATATGTTGTAATAAAATAATACTTTGATGACACATTTTAAAAGTTAATTACAGACATCATTACAAAAATCTTAATATAAAAATATCAATGATAGTTATTGTAAGTGAACAAATTGTATTTAAATTTTTAAAGATTATTAAATTTTAATTTAGAGTTAACAATTTTTTAAATATAATGATGCATGATGAATTATATCCGATATTGTATAATATTATAGTAATATGAATGATAAGAATTTCGTTATCAAAGTTGCTTAAGTTTGCGTAAGATATAGGTATATCTTGATACTAACTTATCTCAAGTTAAAATTATACACAACATGAGTCACCCTACATTATTGGTTAACTTTTTGTCTTAAAAAATTGTTTAGAAAATAATTTGTAGTATTAAAACAAACATATAATGCAGTAATTTATTTTTTTCTCTCTTTCCTGGATTTTGTCGAAAAAAATATGAAATCAATGAGTTTTTTTAAGTAGAACCCAACTTTTCGTTTTGGAATTTAAAAAAGTATTTAATGCAAATTAAAAATATTCATCATTACATATTATACAATCTTAAAAAGGTTAAATTTATAATAATAAATAATTAAATGTTATAATTTATTTTTAATTGATGCAATTCTTTGATATTCTTTTGTAAGATTAACTGTTTTACGTAATAATTTTCATATGTAATGAAATATAGCTGTGAATTGGAGAGTCACTAGAAAAATGTGATATTTTTATCATTTGTATCGTTCACATATGTATTCAAATGCATCGTAAAATGCAGAAACCTTTGCCACCTAACACGGAATGTTATCATCCATGTGTAATATGTATACGTAATCAAAAATGTTCATCGTGCACTTACTAAACATAGTAATGTTAAATGTTGTTATGTAAATGTTGGAGATTTCTCTAGTAGTTTTCTTTAATGCAGCGCGAAAAATTAATGCTTTTTGAATCAAAAACTGATAAAAAAACGTGTATGTTATATTGAAAACACGATTAAGACATTTTTTAAAAATAAAAATTTTTAACTGAAACTTTACATTGAAATAATTTTGTTTGTGCTACATGTCGAGCAATAATAAAGACATTTTCTTTATATAATTAAAATTATAATTAAATTTATTTAAGTTTATTAAGAACTCAATTGATCGAGCCAAAAAATTTTTAATATCTAATAATCTGAAATATTCGCAATTGGCTTACTGGCTTATGTTGGTTTGTTTTATTGTTATCGTGCATAATTTTAAATGAAATATATTTTGATCACAAAAACCATTTTTTAATTAATTTATACGAAATACTGGAATAAAATCATCTAGTCAGGCTAGTATGATAATACATAATACAGAAAAGGAAATATAACATATATTTATGTTCTTCACTAAATATTTTTTACTAAATATATTTTTTTAATTAATGTTAATTTGCGTTTATTTCATCCAAGGAGTTGTTATTGTTGTTATTATTATTGTATATGCAATATAGAAACTGGTTTTTCTTAATAATATTAATTCTTATATTATTAGATATCCCATTGGAAACCGAGAGCTTCCATATTTCACAAAGTGGTGCGAAAAAACTTTCGACGTAACATGGGAGTTGAAGAACTCGTGTCAAAATTTACCGAAGCATTTTCCAGAACCAATTTTATCCGCAGAATTATTGGAAGCGATCAAGGAACTGGCGATCGATTACTCGACCGATGGTGTCGATCGTTTGTTTCGAGCACACGGTCATACATTGCGAGAAATTTATCTTTTGAAATATGGCTCTTTTCAAAGGATACCGGATATTGTCCTCTGGCCTAGTAAGTTGATATTTTTCGATCATTCTCTTATCATAAAAAGAATAGCAAAAATAGAAATTTAATCGTTTTTGACACATAGCACTGACCTTTCAAAGAATGTATATATATATTAATGAGATTATTGATTAAGATTTCTTCTATTATATTAATATAATCTATTATTTATTATTCTATATAATTAATAATACGTTAGCATTACTTGATTATCTAATTTTTTTCCAACAAACTTTTATTAAGAATCGCAATTAAGAATTAAAATAAAATTTAGTGTTAAATTTTGTACATATAGTACACATGTTGTTGCACATAAAAAATTACAAATGGATATTTCTTACGTATACCGATCTTTCTACAAATCTATAATTAGTGGAATATTATCGCCTGTTAAACGCCTGTTTTAAAGTATCATTAGCAAATTTTTCTC